GGAGGGAAGGAGGAGTGGGGAGAGCAGAGAGGGAAGAAAAAGAGGGAAGGAAGAGAGATAGAGAAGAAAGGAGGGAGGGGAGGGAGGGAGAGAGGGAGGAAGGAAGGAAGGAAAAGGGAGAGAGGGAGGGAAGGAAGGAAGGAAGAGAGGGAGGGAAGGAGGAGTGGGAGAGCAGAGAGGAAAGAAAAGAGGGAGGGAAGAGAGAGATGTTGGAGAAGGAAGGGGGAAGGAAGGAAGGAAGGAAGGAAGGAAGGAAGGAAGAGAGGAGGAAGGGAGGGAAGGAAGGAAGGAAAAGGGAGAGAGGGAGGGAGAGAGGGAAGGAAAGAAAACATTGCACCCAGTGCAATGAATGGAAATAGACCAGTCATTCCTTGAAATGCATTTCTACATCTTGCTAGCTCTCCGCTTGCCTGAAAGAATGGCGCAAAGGAATGATTTGTTAGCACTCAGGTGGGAGAGAAAACTTCAATAACTCCGGCTGTAATTTTCGAAATAATCATTTGCCGAAAATCAATGCGAGTTCTGGGGACTTTTGTTCCTCTTGACCAATCACAGAGGTTTATGGATTTCCACCCCTGTCGTTCCCCCTCCCCCATTCCCCCCACCCACCCTCTGGGAAATTGACAATAGCAGCTCTGCTTCACTGGCTTGAAAGAAAAAAGGGAGATTAGAATCTTTCCCACCTTTTTAAAATTTTCTTTTAAATTTTTTTTAAAGAACGTGCTCAGGATTATTCGCATTCCCCAGGTTCTGACGCTGGAAAGGGAAGAATAGGCGACAAGCTGTTAAATTGTCCTTATCACCAAGAGAGAGAAACGATTGTTTCAAATGGTATGGGAATTGACGTCAGAGAAACGATTGTTTCTGGGAATTGACGTCAGTCAAACCGGTCGTTCTCGACTTGCAGCCATTGTTTGTGAAGTGAGTTGCGTGAAATGTTACAATGTTAAGTGAATCACTCAGCCGTTAAGTGAATCCAGGTCCCGTCTGTCCCCCCTGGTTTACTTCGCTTGTCAGAGGCTGGATGGGAAGGTTGCAAATGGCGACCACGTGACCCCAGGAACAGTGCAATTGTCGATAAATACACACCAGTTGCCGAGTGTCCAAATTTTGATCGTGTGAGTGAGATGCTGCTCCAATGATTGTAAATACAAGGAATGGTCGGAAGTCTTTTTGGGGGTGGGGGGTGGGTAACTTGGAAATGAACAGTTGCAACTCAAGGACTGCCTGTATTTAGGCCCCAGAGATGTTATTTGAAGGAGATGCAGGGGTGGGATTCTACCTAGATTAGCTTTCTAGCTAATCTAAAAGCAGAGCTGAACCTTCCTTAGGACCGAAGTTTCTATTTTTCAGTGCAGACTCAGGTAGCCGATGGCAGATAGATAGATCTCTGAATGAATCTGTGATTCTATGAGCAACTCAATCTGCCTGCCTGCTTTGCCTGATTTTGGGTAAAAGTTGCTCTTTTCTTAATGAAATAAATAAATATTTACATAAATATTTACAATATTTACATACAAGCCACGCCCAGCCAGTCACCTGACCAGCAAGCCACGCCCACAAATTAGGCCATGCCCACAGAACCGGTGGTTAAGAAATTTGAATCCTTCCCCTGAGGAGATGTGTCTTAAGTGTAAAATAGACATAAAGGAGAGATTGACTGGCCCTTAGGGGAATTTAAATTCAGAAATTATCAGGTTTCTCATCTTCTTTTAATGACCCCATAATCCCTTGGTTGGAGGGTGGAGTCTTGGGCAAATGAATGGAGCTAAGTTTTTACTGGCCGGATGCCCTTCCTGTCACCAATGCAGAGGTTTTTTTTCAGCAGAGTGCCCAGAGAGAGAAATGTCTGCCTCTACCTACGACCGAACTCACAGCCCCCTGATTGTGAGGTGAGAGCTCTGCCTCTAGGCCACCACACCATTCACCATATAAATTTCCCGTTTTTAATCATACATATACAGGCAGTCCTAGACTGACAACATTTCATTTAGCGACCGTTCACACTTACAACAGCACTGAACAATGTGACCTGCGCCCCTTTTTCACAGTTACCACCTTTGGAGCCTGATTGTGCGATCCGAATTCAGACGTTCGGCAACCTGGTTCGTGCTTACGACCATTGCCGTGTCCCAAGGTCGCGCCAACCAACTTCAAACAAGTGAAGTCAAGACTCCTGTTTATGACGGGCACAGTTCCCGGGGCCACGTGATCCCTTTTCACGGCCTCCCGACAAGCGAAGTCCATGGGTGGGAGGAAGCCAGATTCACTGGGTGACTCACTAATCAAACTGCAGCAACTGTGGCAAGAAAGGGTCATAAAATGGGGTGAAACTCGCTTCACAAATGTCCCACTTAACCACAGAAATCTGGGGGCTCCTTTGTGGTCGTAAATCCAGTGCTACCAGTGTCAGCACTTACAGTGACTGGAACCACACTTGGCGGTTGAGAAACGCCAGCGTGCAGGAGCTGAAATAATGACAGTTGGTTCACAACTCGCCCTCATTCACAGATTTCGCGCTGCTGGCAGAGTTTTCTCACCATCCGGTGCCAGCTTGAAAGCGGACTGAGTTCACACTTGCTTGTCTGAGTCAGCAACTGTTGAAAAAGCTGATTTGGGCAAATATAAAAAAGTGAAATCAAACAGTCGGCTTAGGCATGTCAGCCAGTTCTCAGCAAGTCACAAAATCATCCCCTCGAGCCCAGAAAAATGACCTTGGCAAGGGGACAACGGGAAGATGGTTTTCGTTCTTTAACGATCAGATCGAAAGCTCTTATTTCGATAGGTCCAAGGATATTTCTGTGATCTGTAGCAACTGTTTCAGAGGTTCTCCTTGTTCTACTCGCTCCCTGGCCCGCTGTCATGCCCCTGTTGGAACCTGATTCCGACGTGGAAGTTGAGTAGCTGACAGGGAGTGGGAGTGTAGCTCCGGTGGCTGGGCAGGAAACTGGGGAAGGGCACAGTCCAGCTGGGCATTCAGAGGAAGGCCCAGGCCCACCCCTTCTTCATCCTAGGGCATGCAGGGAGGAATGGAGAAGGGAGCAATGTGGGTTACGGGGGAGAAAAGGGCCCTGATTCCCTTCATTAGCTGCAGCTGGGAAAACAGGATTTAAAAAGGGTGTTTGCACACAGCACCTTGCTGGAAGCAAGGCCACTCTAACCAGTTAACCAACCCTAGGTCATAAATTTATTTATTTGTTAATTAAACTTATCAGCCATCGGTCTTGCGTAGGGAGGATTCTGATGATGTTATCTAGTTTGGTAATGAAAGATCTGCAAGAAAACCACTAAGCTCAGAGAGCACCAAAGACCTCGCAGCTCTCCTCTTCCTCCTTTCCCTGTCTCTATCCCCTTCCAACCCTGACGATGTTACCTAGTTGGGTCATGAAGCATCCATAAAAAACAACCCAACTCAAAGAGCACCCAGGACCCCTTGAACCACAGATGTTCTCTTCCACCCGTATCAGTTGTCCATCATGTCTCTCCTTCTTTCTGCAGCCAATAACATCTGCTTCTACGGAGAATGCTCCTACTACTGTTCAACAGAGCACGCCCTTTGTGGCAAACCGGACCAGATTGAAGGCTCCATGGCTGCCTTTTTGCCCGACTTGTCTTTAGCCAAACGGAAAACCTGGAGAAACCCATGGCGACGTTCCTACCATAAACGCAAGAAAGCCGAGTAAGTGTTTGTGGCTAAAAGGGGTCCTGCTGCTTCCGCTGCAACCCCCACGCAGCAAGCTGTCAGTTCACCATTGTTGCCTAGCCAGACTTTTAATCCCACCACCGCTGAGCAGAGCGAAGTCATCAGCGTGCCAAAGCGTGTAGAAGAGACACAGTGGGAAGATGAAGAGCAGAGGCTGAGCTTTATCTGCATGGCCCGCGCCATCATTCAACCCAGATGTCGGGTTTGTTCTAAACTCTAAAACCAAAACAGCAGAACTTCTGGGTTTTCATGCAGTAGGACTAAAGCTTTTTCTCTAATTAAACTCGAATCCAACTTATTTTGCACTTATTTTGCAAGTATGGGAGAAATAATAATTTTCCTGCATTTTTTTCTCCTGTCATTCATTCATTCATTCATTCATTCATTCATTCATTCATTCATTCATTGTTTCTAGAGTAGAGTAGAATAGAATAGAATAGAATAGAATAGAATAGAATAGAATAGAATAGAATAGAATATGGAAGAATATGGAAGAATAGAAAATAAGTAAAGAAGCAAATAGGGTTTGTTTCCCGTATACATACGTCAACTTCAGAAAGTGTTTGCCTCTAAGTCTAATCTATTTGGTTCTGCAGGATTATTCAAACCTGCGGTGTGAGAGAGGGGGGGGGAGGGAGAGAGGGAGAGAGAGAGAGAGACTTAATAATTGAATTTAAGTAATAGAATAGTTGGAAGGGGCCTTTGAGGTCTTCTAGTCCAGCCCCCTGCTCAAGCAGGAGAATCTGTACTATTTGAGACAAGTGACTTTCCAATCTCTTCTTTAAAATGTAGCATCCACAATTAGTAGATGCTAATCCATCAGTAATGGAGCATTCACAATTTCTGATGGCAAGCTGTTCCACTGGTTAATTGTCCTCACTGTTAAGAAGTTTCTCATTCATTCATTTATTCATTCCTTCTATTAATATTATCAACTTTATTTGCTGACCATCTCCTGGTTGAAGGCCACTCTAGCCGGTTAACCAACCCTAGGTCATAAATTTATTTATTTGTTCATTAAACTTATCGGCCGTCTGTCTTGCGTAGGGAGGATTCTGGGCAGCTAACCACCGATAAAACAACCGGAGAAAACATTAATGTGTTCAAATAGCAAATATGAATGCTAAAATTGACTTAAGAATTAACAGAAGGGGCAAGGAAGGAAGCCCCCTCCCCCTCTTTGTGTATCGTTATAGTCCAGCCCAGATAGTGGGATAGGAATATAGACTTTTTTTTTTCTGAGCCCTTTCAAGATACTCTTATTCATTATCAAGGCATTTTTAAAAATTTATTTTCCCCTGTGGGAGTTCAGCAACCTTCTGCTCCTTCTACAAGATCATAAGTGGGAGGAGGGTGACATCTTTAAAATATAGATGGGCATATTTCCTCTTTTAAACTCACACTCACCCACTCAATCAAAACGTAGAGCACTGTTGGTGGCTAACCTTCCCAATCTGTATTTTTTTTCTTCTCTGTCTCATCCAGGTGGGAAGTTGACCCTGAATATTGTGAAGAGGTTAAGCAAACGCCGCCTTACGATCGGGGAACCAGGATCTTGGATATAATGGACATGACCATATTTGATTTCCTGATGGGTATGTTCGTCACCTTCTGAAACTTAGAATTTGGGCAGTTTTAGTGGTAGGACGCAGTGGCTCAGTGGCTAAGACGCTGAGCTTGTCGATCAGGAAGGTCAGCAGTGCGGCGGTTCGAATCCCTAGCATTGCGTAATGGAGTGAGCTCCCGTTACTCACCCCAGCAGCTTCTGCCAACCTAGAAGTTCGAAAGCATGTAAATAATGCAAATAGAAAAATAGGGACTCCTTTGGTAGTCCTGCCCCGCCACATGACCACGGAGACGTCTTCGGACAGCGCTGGCTCTTCGGCTTTGTAACGGAGCTGAGCAGTGCCCTCTAGAGGCCAGAAACGACTAGCACATATGTGCAAGGGGAACCTTTACCTTTTACCTTTCGTGGTAGAACATGTAGAATTTGTGGAACATATTTTTTTTTGCTGCTTGTTGTTGCCTTGGCTTATTTGGCAGTGGCACAACATTAATGACCTTCTTAGGTGACACAAATAGCAGAATATCAGAGTTGGAAGGTACCTTGGAGGTCTTCTAGTCCAACCCCCTTGCTCTAAGAAGGAGACCCTTCACCATTTGAGACCAATGGCTGTCCAGTCTCTTCTTGAAAGCCTCCAGGATTGGAGCACCCACAACTTCTGAAGGCTTCCCCTAATCTATTCCTCTGCCAGGAAATTCCTTCTTAGTTCTAGGTTGATTTTGATCATGGGATGAAGGATCATAAGGTAACCCTGTTTCTTCTTGAAAGACATCGGGCAGCCAGAATGGTGCTTGAGCAAGGAGCAGGGCCCTCCCAAACCTATTATTCTATGTTCTGTGTTCGTATACTATAATTTGCTTAAGATCTCCAATCGGACATTCTGCTAAACCTTTTTTTTCTTCTTATTTTTCCTCTTCTTTCCAGGTAATATGGATCGACACCATTACGAGACCTTTGAGAAGTTTGGAAATAATACTTTTATTATCCACTTAGACAATGGAAGAGGGTAATTATGGGAGGGTTCAGTTGATCATAACTTACACCTTTCCTTTTTATTCTGGGTTATTCTTCACCACTTTTCTTTTGCTTGAAAAAAGGCATAAATTTGCCCATAGGTCACTTAACCAGAGCACTAGTTTTTTTTTCTAGCTCAGAGACCGGCAACCTATAGAGGTCATCCTCATTTAGTGACCACAGTTGGGACCGGCAACTCGGTCATTAAGCGAAGTGAAACCATGACCGTGTGTCAACTCAAAAATACTTCTCTGGTCTTTTAGAGTTGACAGCAGAAAGGGAGTCGGGGAGTAATGCATATCTTAAATATTTTTCATAGATAATTGCTAGGCAGCCGAAGCTTCTGGCACACCAGATTATTACTGGAGAGCATGATTGATGACTCTTGGCTATGGATGTGTCCCATTGGAGAATATACATCCAGGGGGTGGGGGAAGACCAGGGTCAAGGGTGAGATGAATGATGTGTCTCACAGTCAGCTAAACCCAGGTAGCACCGGCATGTTCACACCTAATAAATTATTATTATTTTTTAAACTCTGAAAGATGCAGCTAGAGACTCGTGATCTGAATGGGGGTAGATTGTCAGAGCCCTGACACTCTGCTTAGGAGTGCAGTTCAACTTTCCATTGCTTTATAGACCTGTGAAGATTGTCAAGAAAAAAAACACGATATTTTCTTTGAAGACTTGTGGCGAGGCTTCGGGACAGCTGCCCACGTTTCCTACAAAAACACCTCTTTGGCTCAGCCCATGGCTCAAACCATTGCAATAAAGAGCGCATTCAGCTTCTGCCCTGACTTTTCGCCAAGAATTTGAGACAGAAAGTATATTTCTAGTGAATGGTTCTTGTGTTCTTCTTTCCTGTAGGTTTGGGAAATATTCTCACGACGAACTGTCTATCTTGGTGCCTTTAAATCAGTGTTGCCGGTATGTTTGGCATTTATTTATTCTTCTTCTTCTTCTCTTCATGGGGAGGATTATATGGGGAGGATTATAAATGATAGATGGGAGAGAGAGAAGGGGAGGGAAGGAAGATAGATATTTAGATAAGATAGATAAAAAGATAGATAGATAGATAGATAGATAGATAGATAGATAGATAGATAGATGATAGATAAAAACATAGATAGATTAGATAGATAGATAGATGATAGATAGATAGATGGATGGATGGATGGATGGATGGATGGGTGGGTGGGTGGATGGGTGGATGGATGGATGGATGGATGGGTGGATGGATGGGTGGATGGGTGGATAAATTGATAGATGATAGATAAAAAGATAGATAGATAGATAGATAGATAGATAGATAGATAGATAGATAGATGATAGATAAAAACATAGATAGATTAGATAGATAGATAGATGATAGATAGATAGATAGATAGATAGATAGATAGATAGATAGATAGATGGATGGATGGATAGACAGACAGACAGACAGACAGACAGGGATGGAGAGAGAGAGAGAGAGGAAGTGAGGGAGGGAAGGAGAGAGAGATGATATTCAGATGGATAGATAATAGATAGATAGATGGGAGATAGACAGACAGAATTTTCTGTATGGATTAAACCAGCGGCTCAGAGTTGAATCATGGTAGCCCATGTAGTTGGAATCCAGAATTAGTCCTTCCAGAAACCAATTCTGCTAAACACAGGATTATTTTTTTTTTAAAAAAAAACTAACATAGCCCAAACACGCTCCACCTCTCACCTTCCAATTTTTGCTTCTTCATAGAATACGGAAGTCCACCTACCTGCGTTTGCAGCTCCTGGCCAAAGAGGAGTACAAACTGAGCCAGCTGATGGAAGAATCCTTGCTGGAGGACAAAATCGCCCCCATCTTGTACAAACTACACCTCGAAGCGATGGATCGGAGGCTCCGGATAGTCCTCCAGGCCGTCAGGGACTGTATAGAAAAAGAAAGTTACAACAAGGTGGTGGAGAATGACTTTGCCTCCCCTAGGAGCACCGTCACGACTGAGAGGTAGTGAAATGGGCAGACTTCCTTCAACGCCACGGAAGAAGACCGACACGTCAACCAAGCCACCATCCCAACAGTCTCGCGAAAGACTGTGTGTAGGCCACATTTGAATTCAGTGAATTCAGAAATTGCTCTTCTAATTGTTCTCCAAGTAGCTAAGGTGTAGACTCTGCAACAGATTAGACTGAGAATAACAGGAAGCTCGGCCGCCAACAGCCCTCGGGGCAATCCACGTGTTCTCAAGTGGACGTGGTCCATCCACCTGCCATGGTTTTTTTTTTTTTCCATCCAGCCTCGCTTGCCTTAGCTTCTAAATTATTCCCCATCTTCATCAACGAGGGCTTTGGAGTCCACCTGTGGGCGGAGCTTCTGGCAAGCCCCACCTTCTCTCTCCCCTGTCTGAGCTTTCATTTCTCTGAGCGGCAAGTGATTTCGTGCCCCCACCCCTTCTTTCTCCGCCCCAATCCTTCAGCGCGACACCCTGCTGAAAAGATCTCGTGTAGGAAATGCCAAAAAGCCCGTCCACCTATCCTGGACGCCGACTGCATCTGGAGGAAAAAGACATCCACTTGTCCTCATCGCAGTTTTCCAAACTGATCCTATCAAACGAGGAGAGAGAAAAAAATATATATATATGGAAGATTGTGAAACGGGATCGTCTCACTGGTTGGAGCAACCCTCTTCATTCCTTCCCTCCTTTTCCTTTGTACAGAAAGCCGGTCTTTATTTAATATTTTGTATTTATAGAGGAGACGGTTGTGTTGTGTTGTTCTTCCTTCTTTTTTTTTAATAAACGGAAAACGCTACCTTTGGACGAGGAAGGGATTGACTGAGGTTTACCACTCTCGAGGTGGTCTCCAAGAGGAATCCAAAGAAGAGAAATCCCACCTTGAAGCTATCCTAGATCTGAACCTGGGTTTGTGGGTGGTCGGAGTAGCGAAAGAGGTGAAGGGATTAGGAATTTTGGAACCCTGCGCACCGAAAGAGCTTTATGGGGAAGGTTAAACTATATATATATATATATATAAAATATAATATATAATTATATATATATTCTCCCTAACTAAGGGAGAGAAGGAAGGGTCAGAAATGGAGAAGGCCACGCTTACGGATGTTTCCTTCAACGTGGCGGTGAAATCATACTTCCTTGTGTCTACTTTGAAGGCGGTATCCTCCTTTTCTCTTGCTCCTTCAGGGCTGCCAAAGGCCCCCCACTTGCTCCCCAACATTTCCAAGACTGATCCATCTACGGCTAAGGCAAAAGCAAAAAGAAAAAAACCCAAACAAACCCCACCCCAGAAAGGACAACCCTCTGCAGCAGCTTCGTTAAAAAAGGAGAGCGGGACAATCCGTGCACCGGCGAGAATACTTGAATGCGGTTTTACAGAGTGATGTTTAAAAAAAAAACAAAAAGAAACAGCCACAGATAAATTGTACTATTTATCCATCCGAAAGGTAGCAGTTCTTTCTTCTCTTCCTGGACTGCTGAAGCTGAGCTGCTGCTTTTTTCTCAAGTCTGCTTTTGATAGTTTACTTTTATGTAAATATATACACATCCCAGTTTAAAAAAAAAACACACACAGATTAAAGGGGAAAAAAACAAGAAGCTGCTTTCAGCAGCAGTAGAATTTTATGGCTTCCTTCCTTCCTTCCTTCCTTCCTTTCTTCTTCCTCCCTCCCTCCCTCGTCCTTCCATGCTGTCTCCTTCCTTTCTTCCTCCCACTCTCCATCCTCTCTCCTTCCTTTCTCCCTCCCTCCCTCCTCCCTTCCTTCTCCCTCCCTCCATCCCTCTGTCCCTCCCTCTTTTCCTTCCATCTCTCTTCCCTTCTTTCCTTCTTTCTCCGTCCCTCTTTTCTTTCCATCCTCCTTTCTTCTTTCTCCCTCCCTTTCCCCCCCCTCCCTGCCTCTTTCCTTCTTTCTTTTTCTTTCTTTTTCTTTCTTTTTCTTTCTTTCTCCTCCTTTCCGTGGATTTGTTTGCAGTGTGGTCCCAGTGCAATAAAGATATGGCAAATACGTGGCCTCCATGATTCCATGATTCCACCTATTCCGGCAGAAAAACCTGCACCGTCTCAAGGCCCAGGGCTGTTTCTCTCTCTCCCTCTCTCTCTCTCTCTTTCTGAAGCATGAGTTGGAGCTCATTCCACCTTGACCTGCCTAAACCTGCCTCAGAAGGAGCCTCTTAAGTCCCATTAATTCTCCCAGATGCCTCTGGCTTGTACAGATGGCCTTTTCCACGGCGCCTCTCTGACTATAGAAATCTTTCTTTTTTGCCCTGCTTGGTCAGGTCTGTCCCTTGCGTTCCTTCCCTTGTCACTCGTTTTTTTTTCCAGGTTCACGTGAGAATTGATCGCTCTTTAACACCCTCGTATTCTTTCCTGGGGCTGAAGCCTACAACTTTGGGGGCCAAATTCGCTGCATCACCCGGGATGGGCTGCTGAGGGTTCGCAGGGGTTCAGGAGAGCTCCTAACTCAGATTCTGTGCATTTTGGAGAACCCACCCAAATCCCACTCCTGGCTGGTCCCGCCCCTCTCTAAGCGGTTTACAGAGTCAGCCTCTTGCTCCCAACAATCTGGGTCCTCCTTTGACCCACCTCGGAAGGATGGAAGGTTGAGTCAACCTTTGAGCCTGGTGAGATTCGAACTGCTGACAGTGGGCAGAGTTAGCCTGCAATACTTCATTCTAACCACTGCACCACCAGGAAGGAGAATGAGAAAGGGAATAGAGGGAAGGAAGGGAAGGAGGGAAAGAAGGAAGGAAGGAAGGAACGAAGGAAGGAAGGAAGGAAGGATAGCAGTAGCGCTTAGACTTATATACCGCTTCACAGTGCTTTTACAGCCCTCTCAGCAACAGCCTTTTGCCCCCAACAATCTGGGTCCTCATTTTATTGACCTCGGAATGATGGAAGGCTGAGTCAACCTTGAGCTGGTCAGGATCAAACTCCTGGTATATGGGCAGAGTTAGCGTGAAATACTGTATTCTAAGCACTGTGAATAGAATAGAATAGAATAGAATAGAATAGAATAGAATAGAATAGAATAGAATAGAATAGAATAGAATTCTTTATTGACTGGTCACACAAGGAATTTGTCTTGGTGTAAATACTCTCAGTGTACATAAAAGAAAAGATACATTCATCAAGAGTCAAGAATCATAAGGTGCAACACTTAATGATAGTCATAAGGTACAATAAGCAATCAGCAATAAGCAATGGAAGGAAGGAAGGAAGGAAGGAAGGAAGGAAGGAAGGAAGGAAGGAAGGAAGGAAGGAAGGAAGGAAGGAAGGAAGGAAGGGCAATAGCATTCAGACTTATATAGTGCTTCACAGCCCTCTCTAAGCGGTTTACAGAGCCAGCCTCTTGCCCCCAACAATCTGGGTCCTCCTTTTACCCACCTCGGAAGGACGGAAGACTGATGGTCATAAGTCAAGCACTGCCTGTATTTAAAAATGAAACAGAGAAGCAAAGCCCAGGAAGGTGTGGGTGCAGAAGCTGACCTGAATGGGCTGCCAGCTGCAAGAGCCCTTCTAATTACAAGTGGTGAGTGACAGGTTTCGGTTGGATACGTGCAGGGGAACAGATATGGGAGGAACCTGCTGAGCCAAGCTGCATCAGCGTCTGTATCAATGCCCTCTTTCTCTTCCTGGGGATCCCCTCGCTCCTGCCACACACACACACACACACACACACACACACACACACACACACACACCCTGCCTGCCAAGTTTGTAAAGGGAGAGTTTTGAAGTCACAAGGGGCAAAAGCGCTCGAAGGGTTTGAAAAACCAGTAAGGCAGATTAATTCCACCCACCATCCCCGCAGTTTTGTGGATGCAGATCCTTGAGAAGGGAGATAGGAAGGGGGGGTTGAGTCTTAAGACCGAGCAGTTTTGTTTTCTTTCATTTAGTTTTAAGGATAGGGCTTTTGCTCGTTAAATGCCAGGTATTCCCTCGCTTTGACGCAAATATGTAAGTCTTTCCAGACCTGCAAAAGATGGAATGACAGAAACAGCCCAAGGTATGCAAAAAGAAAAAGAAAAAGAAATCACGATCCAGTGTTCATTGCAACACAAACCTCCAGAGGAGTGGTAGGATTCAATTTTTTTTTTAATACTGGTTCTGTGGGCGTGGCTTGGTGGGCGTGGCAGGGGAAGGATACTGCAAAATCCTCACTTCCCTCCCCCACCCCACTAACCCGCTTTCCAGCTCCGTTCTCCTGGGCAGGGCATTAAAAGGAGACCCAGCTGGGACTCAATGGGAAGCAGAGAAGAGATGGGGTTGGCGGGGCCAGTCAGAGGCAGGATTTGCCAGTTCTCCAAACTACTCAAAATTTCCACTACCGGTTCTCCAGAACCAGCCAAAACCTGCTGAATACCACCTCTGCCTCCAGGGACTGGTAAACTCATTAACACAAGCATTAGAACTTTTTGCAATACATGCGATATTGATTCCAAGGAGGTGAGGCAACGCAGCTGAAATTCTATTCAGCAATGGCTTAAGAATGGAAAGATCCCACACCTCTCTCCTTTCTCTATTTCTGCCTGCCCATTTGTCTCTCCCGTCTTCTGCTAGAGACCTCTCAAACTTCAAGAAATTTGGACTTCGACTCCCAGGGTTCCCCAGCCAGCATGTCAGGGAAATTTTAAGATGGGAGGCTGGGGAATTCTGGGAGTTGCAGCCTTACACCCGTTAAAGCTTGAGAAATGCTGTATTAGCTCTGTTTGGTTGCTGAATTAGGAAAAGTGCTAGTCATGGACTGAAGAAGGGCCAAATATTGACAGAAAGACTTAAAAAATATTTAAATAATTTTATCCATCCTGATCAAAATGGATTTCTGCCAAAGAGACAAATTAAAGACAATATGAGAGTAATCTTGGATACTTTGGAATACTACGAGGCACATCCTGAAAAACAAATGGCTCTGATATTTTTAGACGCACAGAAGGCATTTGATAATGTGAATTGGCGATTCATGTTATTACTGTTGGAACAGGTGGGTTTTGCTAGAAAATTTATTCAAGCAATAGAAGCTATATACTATAAGCAAATGGCAAAGATAATGATAGAGGGAGAACTGACAGACTCTATTAATATAAGAAAAGGAACAAGACAAGGGTGCCCACTATCACCTTTGTTGTTTGTGTTAACTTTGGAAGTGCTAAACAGAAATATTAGAGATGAAAAGAATATAAAAGGAATGAAAATCAAAAAGGAAGAATTTAAGCTGCAAGCATTTGCGGATGATCTGGTTTTCATCTTAGAAGACCCTTTAGAAACAGCATCAAAATTGATAGAAAAGATAGAGACATATGGAAAGGTGGCTGGTTTGAAAATAAATAAAGATAAGGCAAAGATTTTGACAAAGAATATGCTATTAAGACAAAAGGAAGAACCGGCAGATCTATTGAAAATTCAGGTCATGAATAAGATCAACTACTTGGGGATATATTTGACAGCAAGACGTAGTACATTAAAAGAGAATAATTATATTAAACTTAAACAGCAGATAGCGCTAGATTTGGTGAAATGGGAAAATTTACAAGTGTCACTAATAGGGAGAATTTCAACAATCAAGATGAATATATTACCCAGAATTTTATATTTGTTTCAAACAATTCCAATTAAGCTTGGAAAAGACTACTTTGAAGATTTAAATAAAATTGTGTTGAAATATATATGGCAAGGTAAGAAAGCGAGAATAAAGTTAAAACTTTTGCAAGTTGCTAGAATTAGAGGAGGATTTGGTTTGCCTAATTGGGAATTGTACTACCAAGCTACAAATCTGATGTGGGTTAAGGAATGGATAACACTAAGAAATGCTAGATTGTTGACATTAGAATGATGTGATCTGTTGTTGGGGTGGCATGCTTTTTTATGGTACAAAGGAACTAAAACACAGGGGTATTTTCAAAAACATTATATACAGGAGTCTCTGTGGTTAAACTGGGAGAAGATTAAAAGACAATGTTATTTGAAAATTCCAGTCTGGTTATCGACTATTGAAGCATTTTCGTATCCTATAATATACAAAAAGGAACAAACAGTTAAATATGGTGAAATATTGAATGAAAGGGGTGAACTTAAATCTATGCAAAAACTAGAGGAACAAGGTATAAAGATGAATTGGTTCTCATATGCGCAAATACATTCAAGATATGATAAAGATTCTAAAACAGAAGGTTTCTATGATAAACTGACTGACTTAGATAAGATTTTGACAGGTACTGATGAAAAGGTGATTAAAAAATTGTATGGATATTTATTAGAAATTAAACTAGAAGAACAAGTTAAAGAAACTATGATTGCTTGGGGGAAGAATTTTGGATATGGGATCGATTTAGAGAAAAGGCAAAAATTGTGGTCTCAAAATTATAAAATGACAATGTCAACAGCATATAAAGAGAATTTGTA